TCTTTCAAAGGTTAATACTGTGCCTAAAAATCGCACGTGTACTACAGTTAATAAGGATACCCAACCTAAATTTAAATCAAATCCTGCGTCACTTGAAGAAATATTATCAAGCAAGACTGCCAGTGATGCTGACAAAAAGAGATCTCAAACTTTAATTGGACGCGGACTCAGGCCCAAGTCAACCGTTGGAACTGCCAATCGTGTGACTGATTTGTCCCGATCTCGGATGACTTACTCTTATCGTGTTAAGGTATTTTATATGATTTATTAAAGTTAGTCTCATGTAAACATATACCGATTTATTTTAAAATGAATCTAGAAGCCTTGTGATTCAAGAGCGTCACTTTATACTGGTGCTTTACGACTTTCCCGTACAAATAATATGAAAAAGGAACCTCGAAAATCTTTAATTGCCAGTAAGGTAGGGAAATTATTTAAAAGATGTAATCGGCTTAATCGGTTTTTATCACAATAAATATACTATCTGTCTGTATCGAACCATTTATATCTTTGATAATATTCGTTATATACCTAAACAATCATCATTATAAAATAAAGGTATCATCATCTGCTCGAACTTTTGCAACTCCTGCTCGAACTTCTGCAACTCCTGCTCGAACTTCCGCAACTCCTGCTCCTTTACTGATGACACCTGCTCGAAGATACCCACCATCGATCGCCAGGCGTATCACTACATCTACTACATTTTACATGAACAAAGGAATAAGTGTATTAGGTCAGTGCTTTTTTTTTTTTAATGAAAGGTTTTGTACTTTTTAAAAATTTTATTTATTTATTTATAACGAAACATAAAGGCTCAATTAAAGCGAATCGCCTGACAATGTTATCAAATTTGCCAACATCGAATCATCGTCAATCAACTATACAGCAAAAAAATTCTGAAATAACATCCGATTCTTTGTTGGAACCAATGAGAAATTTAAATTTACGCAGGTTATCGCGGAAGTTCGAGCAGGAGTTGCAGAAGTTCGAGCAGGAGTTGCAAAAGTTCGAGCAGATGATGATACCTTTATTTTATAATGATGATTGTTTAGGTATATAACGAATATTATCAAAGATATAAATGGTTCGATACAGACAGATAGTATATTTATTGTGATAAAAACCGATTAAGCCGATTACATCTTTTAAATAATTTCCCTACCTTACTGGCAATTAAAGATTTTCGAGGTTCCTTTTTCATATTATTTGTACGGGAAAGTCGTAAAGCACCAGTATAAAGTGACGCTCTTGAATCACAAGGCTTCTAGATTCATTTTAAAATAAATCGGTATATGTTTACATGAGACTAACTTTAATAAATCATATAAAATACCTTAACACGATAAGAGTAAGTCATCCGAGATCGGGACAAATCAGTCACACGATTGGCAGTTCCAACGGTTGACTTGGGCCTGAGTCCGCGTCCAATTAAAGTTTGAGATCTCTTTTTGTCAGCATCACTGGCAGTCTTGCTTGATAATATTTCTTCAAGTGACGCAGGATTTGATTTAAATTTAGGTTGGGTATCCTTATTAACTGTAGTACACGTGCGATTTTTAGGCACAGTATTAACCTTTGAAAGA